TAGTTAGCAAGTCGGGGACTATCAATAAATCGGCTCACCATAAAATCGGAAACAAATCGTTTTTATTTTAAAAAATCGGATGAAAAAATCGAGTAAAAAATACAGATCGGCAAAAATACTTCATATAAAAATATCGCTAATATATCGGATCAGGCTCAAAAAATCGGAGTAAAAAAATCGGATAAATTTATAATATTAGAAATTTTGAAATTCTAAAAAATAAAAATTATGTCAAAGCCATCAATTATTAATTCATCTATAAAAACTTTACTAGACTAATATAATTAAGTCGACTAATTTAGATGCCTCGTGACTCTCATCCAATCATCCAATATTAAATACATAATTAACTAGTATACTAAAAAAAAATGTACCATATAAATCTAGCCGTTAAATACTTTAAGAAACATCACACCAACTTATTACATACCAAAAACAAATATACTATATAAATTTATTTATTAAAATACTTTAACTATGGTATGCTGAAAAATATACTATATAAATTTATTCATTAAATACTTAAACATCACACCTACTTAGCAGGTAAAAAAAAATACACGATTTTTGTTTTCTCATTTCAATGATTTAACTATGGTATAGTCACTATGGTCACTTCATAACTATGGTTAAAGTTTTATAAATTTATTTAATTGAAAAAGGGCTCATAGAAATTGGGTTTCACATCTGCGTTTATGGTTTAGAGAAAGAAGAAGGAAGAGAAGAAAATAGGGCTGGGCTCATAGCCATTAGGGTTTATAGAGAGAAGAAGAAGAAGAAAGGGGTCATGGGCTTCACAAACCCTAATGGAAGAGGCCCTAACTGATTTTTAGAGAGAGAAAAGGAAGAACCCTAATGGAAGAGGCCCTAACTGATTTTTAGAGAGAGAAAAAGAAGAACCCTAATGGAAGAGGCCCTAACTGATTTTTAGAGAGAGAAATGAAGATGGGATACTGATTTGGGATAGTTTGAAGAGGGTTTTTCTCTTTGATTTGGGATAGTTTGAAGAGGGTTTTTCATTTTCTTGGGGAACCAGCAAGCAGAGCTGAAGGATTAAGTTTGGGAACTAATCCTATATATACAATTGCTTGCTCCTGTAAGTTTACAGTTTACACTATGTTGTTTATCTTTGTTATCACATAATCAAAAACAAAATATTGATTACTTGGTCTTGTAGTCACACTCTCTGCTTCTCATTCATCAGTAAAAGACTATGTTTTGAGCTCTAATTTGTGTCATAAACAGTATTTTCATAAAAACAATTATCACAAATAATCACATAAATCTGCATGTATATGATTTCTTTACACAATGATTTACTTTACAAAATGATTTGCTATAAACAGTAATTCATTTACACAATGATTTTCCATAAGAACAACTGAAATCTGCATCTATTTGTTCAAGTTTTTTAAAAAAAAGGGTAAAAAAATTTGTACCATCAATCTGCAACTGTGGCTTTGAAGAACACAAAGGGGATAAAAGTTTCTATTTTAGTTTTTTTTTTTAAATCATATTTTTTTTCAAAAGCATGAAAGTAGCAATGGCTGCAATACATAAAACAAGAAAAAAGAAAATCTTTTAAAAAAAATTATAAGGTAAAAAAAAGATACAACTTTTTTTGCTTGATTTAAATCGTATTATGACAAAAGCGCGTTTTAAATGGTTTTATGAAAACTACGGGATTTGTTGCCGACCTTTTCAAAAAGTCACCGTTTAAAACTGTTTCCATAAAAACGCCGATTGTTTGAAAAAATCACTGATTAAACGGCGATTTGCTAACTATGCCCTGGACCAATTACAGCATAGAGGTTTACCTCTGCCTAATAGATGCACCATGCATTTGAGGGCCGAAGAGACCAACCAACATCTCTTTCCTCATTGTGAAGTTGCAAACGCCCTGTGGTCTGATTTACCTCTCCTCTTTTAACTGGTTGTGGGTTACCCCCCAATCAGTCCCTCATCTTTCCCAACATGTCGTCGCACCCGTTTGAGCAAATCAAGGACGCTCTTTTGGGAGGCCTCCTTTTCCGCCACTCTGTGAATCATTTGGCTTGAGGGAAATAGTAGGATTTTCAAAGGGGAGAATGTGCCCATCCCTATCCTTATAGAAAAGGGACCGTCTCTGGTAACCACAAGCTTTTCACTAATTACTCTTTTGCAGACCTCCACACCCATTGGGAGGCTTTGTTGAACCTCAGGGCCCGAAGGATCTCACGGCCTTTTCTATGGGGTCACTAAATTGAAGTTCGATGGTTGCTCTCTTGGCAACCTAGGACACTCTGGCATTGGAGGAATTTTAGAAATTCTGAAGGCCTTACCAGTCTCTGCTTCCCCTTTGCCCATTGTTATTACGGACTCGACTACTGCGGAGGCTGTCGCCTTGCTTAAGGGGCTATGAAGATTTGATCAGAACTAGAATACAACTTTGATAGTCGACGGTGACACCAGAAACATCATCACTTGGGCCTCTGGAGCTGTCCCATGCCCTTGGAGACTAGACCACATTTTCGTAGAGGTTACACAGATTTGCAGCAACACTTGGGTCGCTTGGAGACACATTCATAGGGAAGCTAATGATGCTGCCGACGCTTTAGCTAGGGCAGGAGCTAGCCTCAACACCTCCCTGGGGACTGCAGGCCTTTTTTAAGCTTGCATCCCACACTTTTTCTTGGTTTTGGTGTAGAGCATTTTTTGGGCCCCTTGGGGTTTTGTACAGGGCACCCATTTTCTAGGTTTGCCTAATTTTTTATCCACTCCTGTTTGTATATCTTTATATTTATTAATACAATAGTCAATTTATTAAGATAGATAAATTCCTTACCTTCCTTTCTACTATTCATATACTATTTATACACAAGTATAACTATTTGGTTTGCTTTTTTTCTTTGATGTGTCTATGTGTGCATTTGTGTGTTAAGGAGATCCTCAAATTTACCACAGTATCAACATAATCATCTCAAACACATTCCCAACTATGATTATGAAAGAAAAGAATAAAGATGGAGAATGAAATTATCTCATCCCAATCATGAATCTGACTTCAAACCAAGACAAGTTTTCACATCCCTCATGGAGGAGGGAAATCTCATCCAAGAAATTAGATGGGTGAGACAAACCACACCTATACCTTGGAGGATTGCAGAGGTCACGAAAGCAATTTTGGAGACCAGCAAACCATTGGACACATATTTCAGTTATCCTTTAAGAGATGCTAATGGTGTTGCTGAGACTGCCAGATCCCTAAGAACTATATTAGGGTCCGAAAACTCAGCCAAGTTGACTTGGACTAGGCCGAGTTACTCAGCCTTGGGACCTTGCCGGGGTAAGTATAATGTACTCAATCAAGGATATAAGAAAAATTGGTAAGTGTATAATTTGTTACTAAATCAATAATAAATGATGTGTAAATATGTTTCTATATGATTTTTATATTTATGATGATTTGCGAGTTTTTCTTATTTTATGCTCTATTTTTTATTTTTCTTTCTTATGGGTTTTTCTATTTTTTTAAGCTATAAATCAATTCCATATTCCATCTTGTATATACTTTTTCCATCTTTTGTAAACATTTAACGTTGTTCATAACTTTTTTTAGTTTTAGTAACTCTTTTGTGTTTTATTTTGCAAATTTTTTAAGCCTTTTATGGGCTCATTTATGACTTGGGCGAGTAGTTGGACTCGTCCGAGTTACTCAGCTAGGTGCTGAATTCCAAGCCTGAGACAAGCATTTAAACACTGATGGATGCCTGTATATTATTTTGTTTCCTACCATTGCAGTTATAAACTTTCCATCCTTTTAATGGAAGATACTTGTTTGGAAAACAAAAAACGGAAGAATGAAATAAAAGTTTTGCCCTACATGAATTCATAAACTTTGGAAGCAGCAATATTGTTGATGAACAAACTGAATCCTACTTGAATGAAAGAATTTTGTGCTGGTAATCAAACACCCAGTTTGTTCACACAAATTAATTTAACTTATTATTCTCAAGAAAGATGCATCAGTTCACAAATTCTTCTTGAACTAAATAGCTGAAGAGCAAAAAGTAAGATGACTCCTGATTGCTCAAGAACCATGTCAAGTTACATTGCAATTAAAAAACTGCATCAAAAGTATAATCTCATTCTTCGAACAGCCATACTTGAATTATCAACATTAAGGTTGAAAAACATGCCAGTGCTTAGGCGCCTAGGGTTTCAAGTCCCCCTGACAACAATATATGCTCAGTGGGCACCTGGCAGCATCTATGTGGGTGCTCAAAACGCACATAAATGCGCATATATTGGTCTCATTGATGTATATTTAAGCATTTATATTTATTTTAACTCCATATATATATGCAAATATATGTGCCTTAATGCTGTAAAACATATAGAAAACATTGAATCACATTTCATAATTGTAATAAATCAGCACTTACTTAAGGGATGAAAGAATAATTTAACTAGGAGTAAAAGTCTAAAAGATAGGACATTGATATTTACATATCCATAAAGTAATAAAAGTACTCAAATACTGAATAAATGAAATGAAATCCAACTCCACAACCTCCAGTCCATCATTCATAGACTTGAATCTCCATATTCCAAAATCCAAAGTTCCCATTTTGAATCCACGACATAGTGGAATTCATAAAAGTAGACTGATACAAAAAGAATCTAACCTTCAATCCCATTAAAAATGAAAGTGAGGTTTATAATAATTTTTCAAATGTCTCAAAAAATTTAGTCTAAAAAAATTCCTAAATCCATATTTTTTGTGTGTGTGTTTGTTTGTTTTGCTAGGTGTCTGCAGCCTAGGCCCAGGCAAAGCAGGGCGACTGCTTAGGCACTAGGCGGACCACTTTTTAATATACAGATCAGCAATATAGAAAACTCAATTATATAGTCTGTTGATAGGACAATTATTTAACCAAACTGGAAGTGAAAACCATCACATACAAAAACACCATTCATGGAACAAAAAAGAGAATGAACACTACTAAAAAAAGACTTACAAGTCCTCTTGAGAGTAGAGCTGAAATGAGGAAAAGCATTGCCCCCATACGACTTTGAAAAACAGGAAGCATTTCCTTGACTCGTTGCACAGCAGCTTTTTGTGATGTATATGGGTGTATCCTAACAGCTTTCTGCAAGTCTGAAGCCGATTCCATTGAGAGACCTTCCAGAGCTTTCGCAATTTTCTGGAGATTTTTAGAGTTTATTATTTATTTATTTTCTATTAAGGATTCAAAGGGAATTTTGAACCATGGGGAGGAGGACAAGTGTTCCTTCCTTCACATAAATAATTTGGGGAAGGAAATAACTCCCATAGACAATAAGAAAATTTTACCTCATCGCTTTTGCAAATCTCTTCAGAATTATTGCTGAGGACATTTAATGTAGCTATAGCAGCCTGCTTTTTGCTTCCACATAAAAATAATATTTCCACCATACTGAGAACCAAGGCTCTGACAAAATCACGTAGTGAGAATACTTGTCACAAGAATTTGAAGGAACAATATTTAAACCACAAAATAATGTTACAAAACCTACAAACATTGACTAATAGCTGATTGACTCCCTTTGAAACTGCTTAATTAAATTCTCAAAATTTAATAATGAATATCAATTTCTTGTGATTAAGGTTAGAATACACAATTGGATTACACAGATGAACACTAGAAACAGAGAGTTGAATACTCATCCATGAAAATGACATAAATAAAGGATCAATATAGTATCACGTCCAGAATAATCACCTTGCCTTTTCATTTTCTGATAGAGAAGTAACGTTATCTGGTCTATCATGTGGAATTTGTAAGAATCTCCTCAATCCAAAATTGTGTTGATGTTGCATGTTGGATTTGTAACTACTTGACTCATCTGGATAAAACAACAGGTTTCTAAGGACAAATGCCTGCAGAGCCAGACCGAAAGTAAATGTAAGACAATGTCTCTCAAACCAATAGTGACATCTAATTCCCGCAGCTTAAACTTACTCAAAAAAAAAAAAAAAATAGAAACTTCTAAGTCGCATACTGAGTATGTTTGCAATAACAAAGAATATTGAATTTCAAGTATAGATGCAAATTTCAAGTAGAGGTGCTAATGATTGGTCAGAGAGCATGTTAAATTCAAACCCTAGATGATTCTTAAGCATAACCCAATGTTTAACTTGCCAACAGCGTGAACTTGTTTCATACAAAACGGTATAATTACCACCATCCATGAGAATACAATAAATCTTTAATATGTCAAAAAGTCTGAACATGATGAGATTATCTCGATAATTGTCTACAGCTTTTGTTTTATTTACTTATTGGAAATTGAACTTCAAAAGCACTTAGAAATCTGATATTCACGGAAAAGAAAGAAAGCAAACATGACTAGCATCCTATGTATCAGTTTCAAATCCCTCTGCAAACCAACAACCCAAGAAAAACAAGTCAACTGCTATCCATGCAGGTTCCAGCCACAAGTACATTGTCAAGCGCCATGTGAGAAAACGATTGTGTCAGTGATACAAAATGGGACAATACAAATAATTAATCATTACATAAGATCAATCTTACAAAGTAGCAATCCTAAGCAGTTTAGGATTAGTTACACCTTTTATATAAGCTGAGAACTAAGATATCCAGATACAGATGGGATATGGAGACAGCCAGAGTACATGCATATGACTCAGATTTCATGGAATCTAGGATATGGATACAGATACAGATACAGATGGGATACGGGGACAGCCACAGGGTACATGCATATGACTCAGATTTCATGGAATCTAGGATACGGATACAGATACAAGTCTCCTATCTAATGCATCTCTAAATATATATTATAACTAGCATAATACTACTGAAATATATGGATCCAACACATCGTACACCTATATACCATATGATAACTTATAACACATTGTTTTATTCATAGAGGAACTTACATAAACCACTCTACATTGAAGAATCTAAACACAGAATCCTCTGCTATTTTGGTTAGTATTGGGTATACTAACCTTGTTATTGTTTTCTATTGCATCGACCCCCGAAGTGAATATTCTAGGTCATTTTGGACGAAAATGCTCCTCAGAATCAAACACTTAAAATTTTAAACTTAAATTTCAAACACAAAGTGACCTTAGTTCATTGTATTGAACCAAAGTTGAGCCCGGTTTAGGAAAAAAAATTTAGGCGGCCTGGCACTCCATTGGCCTCGAGAAAGAATTTTGAAACTAGGTCAGTTCAGCACTCCAAGTGCCGAGCCGGCCTCAACTTAGATTCAATGCAACAAACCAAGGTCAGTTCGGCACTTGGAATATCGAACCAAGTTTGGTTTTCAACACAAGACAAAAATAAAGGCTTTAAACTTAAAATTTGAAGTGTTTGACTTTGAGGAGAATTTTCATCCAAAATGACCTAAAAAATCAGCTGAGAGACCAATGCAAAGGAAAACAATAACAACGTATTGATGGTAATAACAAAAAATAGTGGGGTCCCATGTATACAAACTTCAATGCAGAGGTGAATAGGATACATGTAATTTTCCCTTATTCATATTATTACTTATTTATAGTCATGGCTTTTTATACCAACATTAAAAAACTTGACAAGTCGATTCAAAGACTCGCCAAACCGACTCGCCTCAGGATCTGGGCTTGTCCTTCCTTTTCTTTCATAGAGTGGAATCCATAAAAGTTATATATAAATTCTTATCTACCATTTTTTTTATATCTTACAAACTGAAATAAGAAAAGGAAGGTCCCATCATCCAAAAATTTGTCTCACAAGTAACTACTAGTTGGAAGCATATTCACCTCATGCCTATGTGATATAACTACTCACAAACACCCTACGGCAGCTATGATGTAGCACACACCTTTACAGAGGACAGTAAAATTACAAGTAATTTTTTGTACAGCCAATAGAAGAAAAAGGATATTCACACTGAATCCCTCATGCCCACAATACTCCTCAGCCAACCATTAATCCTCTCTTTGCTTCATTGATCAATAGAACATGGAACACTTGATATTTAACAATACTAATGAAGACCTTAACCAAAAGAGAATAATTGAATCTTTTGTTATCAAGAGACAAAAGATCAATCATCATCATCATCATCATCCGAGCCTTATTCCAACTATTTTGAGTCAAGGGTCAAGGGTCATACCCTCAATCAAACCATAAGTCACCATATCTCTTCTCACTACTTCTATCTAATGTCCTTTTGGGTCCTCCCCTTGCCCTTTTAGAGCCTTTCACTTGAACCAAATAGCACCTCCTAAGCAATGTTGTATTAGGTCTACACTACATATGACCAGCGAACTTAAGTCTACTTTCTCTCATCTTATCGCCTATTGGAACCACCTCTAAGTTCCCTTGGATGTATTTATTCCAAATTCTATCATTTCTTGTATTGCCACTCATCCATCTAAGCATCTTCATCTTAGCTACATTTATCCTATAAATATGTTGTTTCTTGACCGCCCAATATTCTGTCCCATAAAGCATGGCTGGTCGTACAGCCGTTCTAAACAACTTCCCATTGTATGTAGTGATCACATAAAACTCTAGATGCACATCTCTATTTCACCTACCCAAATTTATTTCTATGCACGACATACTCCTCAATCTCTCCATTCTCCTGGATTAACGACCCAAGATGTCGAAAATAATCTCTTTTAGGTATTTCTTGGCCATCAATTTTAACTACTTCCTCATTTCTATTCCTATTATTATTAAGCTTGCATTCCATATATTCTATTTTAATTCGGTTAAAAATTTTAAAACATTTAGTTTCTAGGGCATGCCTCCAAAATTCTTTGCGTTGCCATCACCTCTAGTCTCATCAATTAAAACTATGTCATATGCGGCCAACATACACTACAATACCTCACTTGTAGATTCTTAGTTAACTAATCCATAACCAAAACATAGAGATATAGGCTCAATGCTAGATCCTAATGTAGGCCTATTGTCATTGATTTCTTAGACGTTGCTCAATAACTCTCTCCTTTGTTCTTGTAAATAAGTACCATATTACTTTGATGTTTTAGACGTTGCTCAATCACTCTTTCCCACAGCTTCAAAGTGTGGCTCATAATTTTGATCCCTCAATAGTTAGTAAAGTTCTGTATATCTTCTTTGATCTTGTAAATACCACATTGCTTTTTCTCCATTCGTCTGCCATTTTCTTTGTTCACAAGATCTTGTTGAACAGCTTGGTCAGCCAGAATACGTCAATCTCTCCCATGCACTTCCAAACCTCTATCGGGATACCATTTAAAGCCTTTTCTATCTTCATCTTTCTCAAAGCTTCTTTCACTTCAGCTATCGTAATCTTGCAAATGTATCTATGACCTCCAACCTCATTTTTGTTGAAGGTTTCTTTTAACACTGTGCTCCAAAGTGTTCGTTATTTACCAATTTTTATAAATAAATTCACCACCTAGAGACTACCTGAGATTGCAAGATACATGATCACAAACACTTGTGACTACTAATTATTATTACTGAAAACATTACCTTAATGGTAATGATATTCTCAAATGATATTTTTGTTGATCTTACAAGAATGTATGACCATAACTCCCTCTTACTTTTGTGAACAGATCAGGTAGAGCAAAATGCCTTTAAAAATACCTTTAAAACTTTCTGAGTGCAATAGGTGTTTTCCATACATGTTTGTTTCTTCTACAACGGGGGCCTTTCATTACTGCTCATTCTCCGTAATGCTCCCTCTCTCTCACATAATTTGCTAAGTGTTGTCCTGGATATCACATCTCTACACATTTTGTGTCTATCAAGTTGTTGGGAGATAGTTGAAGGGATTCATTCCTGGAATGTAACACAACCCACTGATGGCCTGATATGCTTTAGAGAATTCTGCCAAAGTAATTGCTTTATATAGGTAGTTAAAGGTACACTATTGATTAATCCAATAAGGCAAATCTCTATATCATGGGAACTCCTAAAATATATAATTTATGAACAATCTACAAGACAACCTAAAGCATATTCTTCCACGCTATGGCAGATAAGTTATCCACTCAAGGAGGGAACTTTAGTAAGTAAAGCATTTAGGATTCTCTTGCAGTCTTTGTAACTTCTCAGGAACTGCCGAACTGTTGCTTTTTTCCTTATTTCTCAGAAAATATAACCTGTTTAGTATTTATTAAAAAATGAAGACCCCATTTGAAGAACAGAGATACAAGGTACATATTCAATAACAATATTGTAAAATCCTGTGTCAGCTCATTTTTTAAGATCATAGAATATATGGTCTTTTGTATCAATTTGTAATTACAGCCCACATGGCCCGTCGAGATAGTTGCTCTTTTACATGATTAAAACATCATAAGGAGTTAACAACCTTCTAGGCATCGGTAAATGAGTAATGTTTTGTCATAATGAATATGATAGACCACACCACCAAGCAGCACATAAAAGACAAAAGTTAGTCCTGAAATATGACAAATTAACTAATCATCCATGAATCACTGGATGATGAACAAAAGACACGATAATAACAGCTAATGCATCACCTGTATGGCAGCAAGCACACCGCATGGGCCCCCTTCATGTTGCACGAGACCCATACAAGTTTCAGGGTCAGTGCTAAACCTATAGTAGGAACAAGAAATACAAAACATAAGTATAAGAAGCCGTCAAAGACACCACATCATAAAAAAGATTTAAAAGAAGTCACATGCAATTTAAGAATAACTAGGAGAAACCGCAGGAAAATGACATGTTGATTTAAAGAATGTACCCATAAAGGAAGATGGATTATTTGTTAGCCGACTATAAACTTTAAAAGTTGAAAAAATCAATTAAGCATAAATTGTATATCATTTACTAGGGGAATTGCAGAATTCAGCCAATTCAGCTTGGCCCCCAAAATCCAACTCAAAACTTATTTTCCTCCTATAATAACCCTTACTCTTCTACTGCACTAAACCACTAATGGTTGAAATTTGTCTAAAACTGGAAGGTACTCATATATACCTCAACCAGGGTCAAAATCTACAGAGACTTGAGCCTCTTTGAATAATATTGAACTTACCAATTTAATTAAAGAATCATTGAGTAGAATCAGCTCTCCCCACTGGCAAGTCATATTTCTAAAATTTGGCACCAAACACGGCCATAACCTGGACACAAGCAACTCTATTATTCCCCAAATCACTAATCTATTAGTGAAGTAACTGGCATGGATAGCTTTTGAACAATTGCATGGATAGCTTTTGAACAATTGAAAGAGTCCTACTGCACGCCAATAACTTTGGAAAGCATCCCCTAATCTCCAAAGGAAAATCCCCTCTTTTTTTAATAAAGAAGACTTGCTCTAAGTGGTATTATACCCGATGAAAAATCTCCTTGTAACAACAAACACTGAATTGCACAGAAAACTATAGACATCCACACTTTGGCTAAAGGAACTCCGTGGTACTTGCACCCCTAAGCCATGGGACCAAAACCTAGTCACCTTCCCAAACTAATCCTGGACCAAAAACTGAGCTTTCTTCCTACCTAAATACCACAAATCCTATCCTAGATCGCACTAGGGAACACACAAGGCGTTATAGCCCGTAGTGCACATATCCCCAGGCTCTACGCACCCTTAGTAACAACCTGAAAATGCCATAGATGCCCCACCATTAGGGAGGCACCATTAAATAACATCAAAAGCACGTATTGACTCTAAACCTTCCTAATTAGCTTTAACACTTCAAAAAAATCCAAATTAGGCTAGGACCTTCCCAATTATACTAGACCCACATAGGAACCCTCAAACCAACCATTTAGAGTCCAAGCATTACAACCCCTATAGAACTCATTAAAGTTAGGCAAAATTGATTCTCGCCTATTGTGGATGTCATAAGCTTTCAAACAGTCCAAAAATCACTCAATTCTGACGCAAGGTTTAAAAATTAAGGCCAAAACAAATTCGTTTGCCAAAAATCCATTTTGGACCCTCAAAGACACATTAAGCATCGTTGACGATTCAGAATGTATATTTAGATCAAAAATAGCTAGAAATGCCATTCTTTAATATGATAAATGCAGGCCAAAAAGTCCAATGACACAAAATGTGTCATTGATGACGCAAAACACGTCGTTGTGAGATCAACGGCCTATATTTGGCAAACACTTCATGTATGACAGTTACAAATCTCCTAGCCTATAAATACCCCATTAAACCTCAATTATAAGGTGAAAAACCTAGCCTTTTAGACCCCGGAGCCCTCTTGGCCATTTGACCATTTTGCCCTCAATATTGTAGAAACCCCTAAGACCTCTAGCCTAAATCATGAACCCTTGGATCCTAGAAAACTCAAGGAAGATTTGCACGACTTTTCCAAGCCCAAAGTGTGCTAAATATTCAAGTTTACATGCAAAATCAGCAAAGGAGAGAGATAAAACACTTCCTATGCCTCTATTTTGCACCTAAACTAAATCAAATGAAATCGGTAAAGCAGTGGATCCCTCAAATTACGATTATGGAAAATAGGCCAATTAGGACCTCTTTCCCATGCACCACAGGCCATGCAGTTAGAGATTCACCATACTGATTTAAGTCACTTGAAAACAATTAGAAAATAACTTAAGATTTGAAAACACATAAAAATCAGAATTTAACTACTATACACCTCATTTCTACGCTTCTATGTTCACCCACACCCAAATCGCTACCACTCCTTAAACATCTCTACTGCTTAATGCTTTGTAGCCCCCTCTTCTGAAGTCTCTCACTGAATATTCTCTCAATTCTCCTTCTCCTCTCTTTTCCTTTCAAACCTTCCCATTCATTATGTTTTGTTGCTCCCATGCAATTCTTCCCTTTTCCTCTTTCCAATGAGTGGGCCCTCCCTCTCCTTTTGGTTGTCGTCATCCTCCTTTTTCATGATCTTCATCTAAACTATTCTCTTCATCTTTCTCATCCCTCTATTTCCCACTCAAATTCTTGGCTTTTGTTCTATGCTTGATAGGCACCTCTTTCTCCCTTCCTTTTCCTTTTTTATTTTACTTTTCTTCTTCTTCCTCACTTTCCCCATTATTTCCTACTTTTTTTGCTTTTTGCATTCCACCATAGTGTTTTATTAATCTTTTTTGGTTGTACAGTTACTCTTAAGTTCCATTACTTTGTTTGTACAATCCGAGCACCAAGTTTGTGAGTTGCATGTAACCACATCTTGTGGGTTTGTGTAAAAATGTAATTCTTAATATAGACATCTTCATTTCATAGAAAAATGCAAATAAAACAAAAAGAAAATAGATGAGAAAATACCCACTTAATTAATCCAGGCCTCCATGCCCAACACTTAAAGCTGGGGCCGATATCAAACTTGAGGCCTGAGGGGAGTGAATTGGATGTTCTCCTCGATCCTTCGAAATAACTTGAATCAAAGAAATCACTAGGTAGAGATGTCTAGAACTTGAATGAGGTTTGGAGAGGGCCTGCAGGGTGAAACCTAGTGTGGTTTAGGCCTTTAGGGTTCATGGCTAAGACCTATACTAGTTACCTTTTCTAAATATTTGGGCAAATATTCCTAAAGATTCAAGAATCCAAGGGTTCAAGCTTAGGCCAGAGGTCCTAGGGGTTTCTAGGGTATTAAGGGCAAAATGATCAAAAGGCCAAGAGGGCTCAAGGGTCTAAGTGGCTAGGGTTTCCCACCTGTAGCTTAGGTTTGAATGGGTACTTCTAGACTGAGTGATTCTTGGACTGTTTGAAAGGTTAAGACGCCCACTACAAGCTAGAATCAAATTTGGCCAATTAAGTTCGGCAGGGTTTATAGCATTTGGACTCTGAAGGGTTGATTTGAGGGCTCCTATGTGGATTTAACCTAATTTGGAAGGTGTCGGGCCTAATTTGGTAGGTTTTCATAAGTGTTAAAGCCAACTAGGAAGGTTTAGGATCAAATAAGAGGTTTGAACGCTATATAATAGTGCTTTCCTAACAGTGAGGCATCTTCAAAACTTTTTAGATTGTTGCTAACAGTGCATGGAGCATGAAAATGTGAACAATGGACTATCTAGCCTAGTGTCTTTCCCTACTGCAGTTTAGGGTATGGTTGGGGTGGTTAGGTGGGATGAAAGCTGAAGTTCAGGTCCAGGATAGCCTTGGAAGGAAACTAGATCACGGTCCTATGGATTAGGGGTGCAGGTACCTAAGAATTCTTAAGCCAAAGTGGGGTGCCTACAAAGACAAATTATAAAGGAAACTAAAGACATTACTGCCAATGAACAATAGTAAAATTGAATTTCTATACAAGTAAATTGCGATGATCCCCCTCTAGTCAAATCAATAATTATATGTGTTTGCATCATTGCAAAACATTCTTTTCCTCGTCATCACCTGCCCCTCTTTTCTCTCCTTTTTACTTATTCACAAAGTTTCTCTTTCTCCCCATTCCTTTTACCCATCTTCAGAGGTTTTAAATATACCATCTCTCGGCAATCTAAACCCATGCCAGCTAGCTAGCCACCATACTCATTGACGGACAGCCACAACTTGTCGTCCTTAGGTGGACACTTTTACCATCAGGAAGTTATCCCCTGCTCGCAGAATAGCTCCACTTTGCACCTACTCAGCCTACAATTGTTTTCGTCGAAATACAAAAGGACCACAAGAAAGAGCTCCTGCCTACAGTTCAACCTCCCCAGCATGGGTTTTGCTCCAATATTGCATCCCATCCACAGGAGTCCACTACCCGTAACAGGGAATTCTCCAACCAACCAGAGTTAGGATCACTCGTCACATCAATTGTTGAGACTTTTTGGATTTTTAGTAGTGCAACTCACCCAAAGGCGTTCACTACACCAATCTGGGATTTCGCCAATCAAGCGACCACTACTTAAATCGATTGTTTGATTTATTGGGGTTTTTTGGAGACTACTTTTATTGCTTTGTACTATCTGTTTGGTTTTTTTGGTTCTTCTGCCTCTTTCTTGATTGTACTTCTTCTTCTCTTCTGTTTTTCTACACTCTTATCTCCTTTGCTTCTCCTGGTTATTTGTACACTGAGCACCCGGTTTGTGGAATGCCTTCTTTACTTTTAGCACCATGTAATTCTTTTTAGCAATACAAAGTTAACCTTTTCTAAAAAAAAAACATTCTTTTCCTTGTCATGTAACACAAGGTCTTGTTATGAAACACTGTCATGGTTAAGGAACACTTCTCAGGTTGGCTAGTATCATTTTGAACTCAGATGCTTAGGTTAGGTTGTTTGTTCATGTAAAGTAGGTAGAGTCATGCTCATTGTTGTTTCTTTTAAAGTAAGCCACATCCCAACTTTCCAGGCATGAACAAGGGTCATAGTTCCCTTCAAGTTCAAAGTTTGTGGTTCAATCTTTAAATAGTGGAACCAATCTGTCTACATGCTAGCCAATTCAACTTGATTACCTGCTCGAAAGGTTCCTAGTACGGGACTGACTTAAAAGCCCAAGAAACTCATATTTATGCCTAAAAAACTATTGTCCAATTCAGACTTTGCGATAAATAACAATATTCCCCTAAATTTACATAGTCCAGGAAAAGATTCATACATGAGTTGCAGTGGCCAAAATAAGTACATATGATGCATTCATCAAAGAACAACCTAAGCCCAATTTCATGGAACGAACTTTTACTAGCAAAACATGAGTGCATAGCAACCTCATTGTGACAATGACAAGTAGATGGCGCCCTTATAAAACAATATCAACACGCCTCTCTCTCAATTAAAACCAATTAACTTGAAAAGTATCCAAAACAAAACAAAGCAACAACATGAAATAACTCAAACGACAAATATTTTATGTTAAAATCACTTCTTCTTTTTTTTGAAAAAAGGAACAAAGCAATCACAGAAACCTGCAATTACCAAAATATCTCAGAATAGCATACCTGATACCCTGATTACACCATTGCGCAAGAATATCTTTTGAAACAGAAGTCCCAAAAACCATATAATACAGTTGATGAGCATCTTCATTGGACAAGGCCAACCCCTCATCCGATTTCCGAACAGTTTCAATTCTAGGGTTTTCAGGTACAACTGACTCCCTTCTAACAGAGACCTCCTCCTCCTTCAAATTCCTCGCCACCATCATCCTCTTCTCAGCAGCGGCCGCCATTAGCTCTCTCTGCACTCTCCTATTCCTACTTTCTGGCGATTCTTCCTGATAAATTCCGTCTACGTGTGACTTTTCCAGCGATTTCCCAGCCACCTGTGAGTTCTCCAGCGGGTGGCCGTCCATCTGTGGTTTCTCCCACGATCCAACGGCGGGAGAAGAAGCGAGGCTCTCTCTTGGCTTGCTCCTCTTGGGATCAGGGGCTTGTTGAAGGCTCATTCTAAGAGCCATTTGAAGGTCATCCTCCTCTTGATCTGCCATTAAACCAGAAAAAAAAACCTTCCCGCTGGAGTTAGGGTTTCAGGCAAAAGGAAGAGATCGAGCGAGAACACGTTAGCGCCATGTCGTCTGGGTTTTTTAGGGTTAAGTTTTTCTTCTATCTTTATTCGCCGGAAAAGGAAAGTGACGGGTTAACAACATGATTTAAATTCGCGGGCTACGTGCAGCACTCACGTTTTTTTACTTAAAACACCCATCCAAACATGGATGGGTGTGATTATTAAAAATACAGGTGTTAAAAAGATCCGCTTTAAATTTCTTGCGATCGCAGAAATAGACTGTATTTACAAGCGTTTTTTTGTCCTTAATTAAGGACGCGATTAGCAAGTGGGCTGCGGACAACTGTAGAAATCCGGGCCCTTAATAATTTATTTTTAAAGTAAAATTTGATCTTAATTTTTAAAAAATATATAATCTTTAACATGGAGATTATTAATGTATAAAATAAATAAATTTTAAAAAATAAAGATGATATTTTGTTTGGATAAAATATTTGAATCGTTGATTTTACTCCATTTTGGTAGACGGTGTAGATCTCCGACCCGCATAATAACACGTCCAGCCACATCAAACAATTTTTCTTTAGTTAATGGAGTGTAAAAACTTGTGGGAAATTATTTAAACACCCTCAGAGTGGATGTTCTCCACGTTCGTAAGTCTTACTCACTCATGACCAGAAATGCTTTTTCTTTTTTTACTTACCCTTAAGGTACTTTTTAAGTTTGGGAAATTATAAAAAATATAACTTAATTTTTAGGGAAAATTAAGTATATATACGTTATAGTTTGTGTTATTACAAAACTATCGAATAGTTTCGGTTATTACCTATCTGTTCGTTTTTTTCATGTCATAACGAAAATTTTAAAAAAATACAATTTTACCTTTTTTCGATTGTAGAACAACTGAATTCAATCGATTTTCGATTATTCGAAATCAGGCCAATTTCGGTTTTTGAAAACCAAAAATTTTAAACTTTTTTCGTACGTACTCCCCTTTTTCGGTTGTTGAACAACCGAATTCAATGGATTTTCAACCGAAAATCCTTATACCCGTATTTTCCCTCTAAAAGTCTTCCCGATAAGCGAATGAGAGAGGTCCTCTAAGCCGTAGTCGCTTACTACCTCTTTTCTTAAATGATCAATCAAGCAGCTAGTTCCTATCTCGTTCCTTACTTGAGGAAATTCTGCTTTGATCTCAGTTCAGTTTCATACGTATCCAGATAGCGTACAATCTTCTCGACGATAAGAGTTCTCATCGCCTCTTTTTTATTTGGATTGCTTCTTGGAGAGTAACGGTAGAAGACGAGGAGGCATGGTTGGGTGCCCCAGCTTCCGGGGAACCGGCATGAGGATTCTCCATCCACAATATTAGTTGCGACAAGACCATTTCATCCAAGTGGATGAGTGCCTTACAGGTGCAAGACACCAAAAGAGCCAGACCTCTTGAGCAGCCGCCCATTCTTTTGAATAAGAAAAAGGACAGGGCCCTACCCCCAAGACGGAGCCCCCTTCCGAGCTTTGTCTCCTATGGACCTTAACCCCTGTCCTACGGAGCAGAACAGAACAAAGTAGAATAGGTTTTGATAAGAAGGATAGTGCAAGCACCAGACCACAGCGCCAGACCGTAGCACCTTCCTCCGCCTATGGCAGTGCAATTGTCTAGCCGAAAAGACAAGAGGCTTCTAGCTTAACAACATTGTTGTACCAACAAGGTGTAGCTACATCATAGGACATGGAACACCATGTAATCCCCCCTAATTTATCCACGTAGATTTTTATAGAGAGAATGGATAAACATAGGGATAAAAATAGGAGAGAGAATGGATAACACATAGGAGAGAGAATGGATAACACAAGAGAGAGAATGGATAAACGTTTAAACCTACCCAATGTAAGGTATAAAGAGTGAATGGATAAACATAGGAGAGTGAATGGATAACATAGGGGAGAGTTTATCTAAACTCTCATCTTTATCCATTTTCACTCTATACGGTGGGTTTAAACTCTTCCCCATAGAGTTTGAAGGGAAAATAAGGGTAAAGTGTGGGTGAAGAAGGGTATAGAGGATTTCGGTTATTGAACAACCGAAAATCCATTGAATCGATTGTTTAACAACTGAAAAAATGGGAGTACCTACCGAAAAAGATTTCGGTTCTTGAAGAACCAAAAATCTAAAATTTTCGATACTTCAACAATCGAAAAATTTGAATTTTCGGCTTTTCAAAAACCAAAATTGTCCTGATTTCTGTTGTTCAACAACCGAAAATCGATTGAATTCGATTGATCAACAACCGAAAAATGGTAAAATTGTCTTTTTTAAAATTTTGGTTATGACATGAAAAAAACGGACAGATAGGTAATAACGAAAATTGTAATAACGTAAATTATAACATATATGTACGCAATTTTCCCTAATTTTTATGTTATCGAAAGTAAATCCCAAACTTTCCAAAACCGAATCCACATCTCTATTTTGGATGGCTAGACGAAAATAGCATTTACAATAGTAATTTTTATGTTATCGAAAGTAAATCCCTAACTTTCCAAAACCGAATCCACATCTCTATTTTGGATGGCTAGACGAAAATAGCATTTACAATAGTTTTAGAACCGTTAGGCATCACGGTTTATTGAAAATTGTGATGGTCATGACGGATTGTAAATCAAATGTAGTTTTAATGCATCAAGGCACTTAAAGAGCCAAAAGAGTTTATTGGACTATCACTAATTTAAGCTATATACTCTTACCTAATCATCACGATTGTAAAATAACCATATGATCTTTCAACCACTCCCATGACCATCACGGTATTTAAGTATCATGATGCCTCAAAATATTAAACCGCCCATGACCATCAAGGGTGTTTAAGTGCTGTGATGCCTCAAAGCATTAAACCGCCCATAACCATTACGGTAGTGAATACCGTGATGTCTTTATGGTCTTAAGATTATCATGAAGGTTATTTTGGTCAAAAAACACAAAAAGTAAAAAAATGGGTATGGATGAGATTTTGAAAAGTTTGCGGTTTATTTTCAATTATAACAAATTAAGATATATTTTTTGTAATTTCCCTTTAAGTTTTTGGTAAAGTTTATATAGAGCCGAGGCTCTAAACAATCAAATTTGAGCCTAACTCAAAAATTTCACTAGAAGAAGTTGTTTTAATGCCCAAATATCTTCAAATTGAACATCGCGACATCAAGATGCATGGACAATAGAAAAAAAAAGGATTGCAAGTTTTGGAAATAGTGTATTTTGTAATGCATTTTTTGACAGTCAATTTTCAAGATTTTTAGTTTTCATAAATATGTCGATCTACACTATTTTTTAAGTTTTAAACTTTGTAAATAAATATAAAAATATGTTCTAAAGCTATCACAATGATTTCCAGTATTAAACTACATTTCTCAACACTATTTGAAAGTAGGCTCTAATTTGATTATTTAGAGCTTAGGCTCTATACAAACCGCACCCTTAAGTTTTAACTATATTTATGAAGAAAATGCCAAACTCCTACAAAGGTCAAAAAAAAACATTCATATATTTCTATCTCTTTCCCTCTTTTTTTTCTTTCTTTCCATGCTTCCCTCTAAAAATTTAAAAATGGATGTTGGTTTCTCTCTCTCTAAAGCTTTCTCTCCCTAAAAAATTTAAAAATGGATGTTGGTTTCTCTCTCTCTAAAGCTTTATCTCCCTAAAAAAGTGAATATGTTTGTTGGTTTCCATCTAAAGCTCTCCCTCTAAAAATATGAACTTTTGGTTTCTCTATCTAAACATATAATGGGTTGTTGGTTTCTCTTTCTTTTTTTCCCATTTTTTCTCTCTAAAATTGATCTCAAAATCATGTCTTTAGAGAGAGAAATTGACTAACCCATTTACATTTTTTGATTGAGATATAAATATGAATGGGATTATTGGGAATATAGGCCTAAAGAGAAAAAAAGATAGAAGGAGAGCGAGAAATAAAAGTACTTTTGTCACAAATAAAGTTAGAAAGCATCCCGAGTGAGAAAAAAAAAAAGTTCAAATAATAAGTGAGAGCAAGACGGTTGGTGAGAAAAAAAAAAAGTTCAAATAATAAGTGAGAGCGACTTGTCAATGGGCCACATTATAAGAAGAATATCCAACCTCTTGGGTTCAAAAACTTAAAAGTACATGGTGTGCATAAATGCGGAGGTAAGAGCGGTACTTAATAGCCCCTAAATTTGATGAAAAGTTGGGTGTTGTTATTTTTTTTCCAAAAATTACAAATAACCCCCAAGACTAGACTTTTTATTCAAGTTACCCTGAACCAAACTTTTTTCACCAAAATACATTTTTCTATCAAATACCCCCCCAAGTAAAAGAAGGTACATTTTTCTTAACGAAAATACCATTTTTCATATATAAAAATTTAATTTTGGCCGGACATTCATGTGGGCGTACATGGGCTGCCGGAACGTTCTTTGATATTGCCAGACCCGGTTAAACTAAAACAAGTGTCGGACCACTCTTTGATATTGCCGGACCGTACCTTGGGCATGTTGCCAAATTGCATGGGCCTGTTGTCGGACCACATGGGCCTATTGTCAGACCTCTCTTTGACAGTACCAGATTGCATCGGCCTATTGCCGGACCACCATTGTTATTTACCGGACCGACATGACACTGCCAGACCGCCCTAAGAATACGTCAGACTGCCTTTTCGTGGGAAAGAGGAGAGAGATGCATGGGCAAAAAGTAAGGGATGATAGTTTAGGCTTTTTATTTATTTTTTTGGGTTGGGGGTATTTGTTAAGACCAATGGTTTAATAAACGGATCGGTGACCCAGATCGGGCTTCCAAAAAATCGATCCGGATAGGCGAATCGGCGATCCGGATCGTGAATCGGGTGAATC